ACATTAAAGTGCTCCAGAGCAGCATACAATATGCAAAAAAGCTTTACCCAAAATGTCACCTCCATGTTGGTAGTGTACAGGGACTTCTGGTTTTAACTAAAGGAGGCCATCTAACTCAGCATGCTCACTGCCACCATGAACATAGTACAGAGCATAACCTGGCTGCCTGGCAGGGACCCAGAAACTTCTATGCACATTCACCCACACTGCTCTGCCTTGTGGTGGAGGAAACAGGAGATGGACCTGGCTTGGCTTTGTAGCCCCTCCCCGACCCAGAACCTTTCAACAGTACCCATGTTCCCAGGCCTCTGACATTTGCAGTAATCTTTGCTGCCAGAGGATATCTTCACAGTGCACTACATTGTAGCCTTACTGAGAAAGGTTACTTGGCAACTCCAGCAGCTTTTTTGCTCTGGCTGGGAGCCTGATGTTCAGGGCAGTGAAAACAAAAATGTCAAGGGCCAGCCAGATAGCTCAGCAGACTAACGTACTTGGTAAGGCAAAGCGCAAGGACCAGGGTTCAATCCCCCACATGCCCTGCTGGCCCAGCCCCAGGGTGCAGAGATGGTGATTGAAACTGGGCATGGTGGCGCAAGCCTGTAATCCCAGTGCTTGGGAGGCTGAAAACAGAAGGATCACTGAGTCTGATCTGTGTAGTGAGATCTTGTAGAGCCTGTACAAAATACATGGGGGAAAAAAAAAAAAGAAGCCTTCCACCTAAAGACCCAAGCCTTGGATTTGAACAGTCAGATGCCAAACCACCACTCCACACACACACACTTCTCACAGTATGCTTGCTGAGATGTAGGCTTGCCTCTGTCAGGTCATGCTCTGGCTCCTTCCTCCTAGGGGGACAGATCTAAGTCTTCATTAATTAAAACAGAAACAACATACTCAAGACACTTAGAAGTGCAGTCCTGGTAGGTCAGGAAATGCAACCCCTTGGTTGCGCCCTTTGGCCAAGCAGTGTTATATGACTTCATTGGCCAGGCTCATCTGCAGAGGTGAAAGTTTTTCAAAAGTTCTTGAGTGAATGTGGTAAATGAAAATGGCGTTTTGCAGTGTGAGTTAAGTAGGTGAGAGGCTTGTGCTGCTGGTGGTGAAATTTACCAATAGTCAAGGAATATAGGAAAGTTAAGTTTGTTGATACACTGTGAAAGAGAAGCTGGGGAGTCCAAGAGAGGACTATGCTGTCAGAGTGAAAGGATAGATAGATAGATAGATAGATAGATAGATAGATAGATAGATAGATATAGATAGATATAGATAGATATAGATAGATATAGATAGATATCTATATATATGTATTTTTTAAACCTGGAGCCAAGGATTGAACTCAGGCCCTTGTATTTGCCAGGGAAGCGCTTATTCTACTGAGCCATGTCCCTGGGCCCCTAGGCTTAGCTTTTATTTGATTTTAACATGGGAGCAAGAGAGGGGTGAAGTGGTAGCCCAGGAATGTTTTCATCATGTCATGGTGGTTCTGTCTATCCATTCATTTCAGGTTAAAAACTCAGTAATGTTTTGGTCTAGTGGCTTTGGCATCAGTACAGTCTTTCTGGATAAAATTGACAAATGTGTAGTTTGTTAGCAGCCAAAGGGTTCAAAATAAAATACGCTTGACCTGAGTGTGGGGCATATGCCTACCAATCCCAGCCCTCAGGAGGCTGAAGTAAGAGGGTTATAGCAAGTTTGAGACCAGCCTGGGCTACATGGTGACTTCAAGGCCAGTCTGAACTGCACAGAGACCCTTTCTCAAGAAAACGTAAGTATGTTTCTACTTTGAAAGGAACTTTTGACATTGTATTAGGACAGGGGAAGAAATGGTATTGTAAGTAGTTAGATAATCTACTAATGTACATGTGGTTCCTGCTTATAGCTAAGGTGGGAAATTAATGCCCCACAGACTCATCACTCAGCTACAATGTAGTCTTTAAAAAAAATAGGTAAAATGACCATGATTACTCATATTCGTAAAACTGATAAAACTGGGGCAGTCACTTGCTTTTATAAAATTTATGCAAGAATACTTCTAAGTTTTTTTTTTGTTTTTTTTTTTTTTATATACCAGGGATTGAACTCAGACCCTTGTGCTTGCCAGGGAAGCACTTAATTCTACTGAGCTACCTCCCTGGCCCCTGTCTGTATATTTCAAACAAGGTTTGACTTACACCCACCACCTCTGGAACTCACACCCTTTTATTAATATTTTTATTGTGAGTTAGTTTGCCATGCAGCACTGTAAGTACTTTGCTGTGACGTCTCTGGCAGCCATGAAAAAGGGAGGGAGAAGGGGAAAGTAGAGGGAGAGAGGGAAAGGACCTGAACATGAGATGATGCAGATGTTATTATTGGTATCTGTATGTCTTTTTTCATTGTTTCAACAGTGTTTCAAAAGGCCAGCTAAGAGCTTTTAATTTTATAAAGTCCAGTTGTTTCCTTTTATAGTCATTTATGTGTCCTAAGAAATTTATTCCTGTAATTGTTAGTTTAAACGATATTCCTATATTTCTAAGTTACTTATAGTTACTGACATTGTTCAGCTTATTTCAATTTTGATCAATTATGTCTCACTAGAAAATCTGGTGTGTTGGGGGCCAGGGAGATAGCTCAGTAGAATAAGCACTTGCCTGGCAAGCACAGGGTCCTGAGTTCAATCCTTGGTACTACAAGAAAAAAAAAAGAAAGAAAAAAGAAAATCTGGTGTGTAATGAAATTTGAGCTGTTTGACACTATATTAGGATAGGGGAAGAAATGGTAAATCTCTGAACATATCACCTAGAATATCTGTCTCTACTGTTTTAATAGATAGTATCTGGCAACTGACTTATAAAATCACCAGATATACAACATCACATCACCAAAAGTCAAGAAAAACCACCAACAATAGAAACAGGCCAAAAGGAGTAGGTGAGATAGCTCAGCAGACTAAAGCACCTGCTCAGGCAAGCACAGGGACTGTGGGTGGATCCCTGGCACCACATGCTGCACTAGCCCCAACCCCAGGGTGTGCTGAGCTGGCCAGAGTCTGGGTGTAGGGTTGCATGCCTATAATCCCAGCGCTGGGGAGGCTGAAAGCAGGAGGATTATGAGTCCGAGCTGCACAGTGAGAGCCTATAACAGCCAAATACATTAAAAAAAAAAAAAAAAGGCAACAGGCCAAAAGAGCAGCTGTACAAAAAGACTATCTCTAGAAGAAAAACAAAGGAGATGTATAATATGAACAGATTAAATCTAGGAATTTCCAAGATGCATATACGCAAGTATGAACACACACACACACACACAAATTTAAAAAATCACTGCAACACCAAGCAGAACATACATAAAAAAGTCATACCTTGACAACACATCATTGTATAACTGTTAAAAGCAAAAGTCAAAGACACACATTTTAGAGAAGACAGAAAAAACAAGGGTACTCCAAGAGGAATAACTGGCAGCTTTTCAATAGGAGACAGACTATAGTGAAGTATATGCAAAACATTAATAAACACAACTTAGATTTCTATACTTACTAAATGGTAAAGACTGGGGCAAGGAAAGGTAAAGCCAAGAGCTGGGGATATGACTCAGGGGGGATTATATCCTTAGCATAGGCAAGGCCCTGTGGTTGTTCCCCAGTTTAAAAAAAAAAAAAAAAACATGCTTCTCAAAACAAAAGCAGAATTTGTCACTAGTAAACTCACATTAAAAGACTGATTATTTCAGTTATGTAAAGAATACAAATGCATGACATCAATACTGTTAAGTCTAGAAGGGAAAATGTGGAGTTAATATTCTAACTCCCCTTCTTGATCAGAAGTGGTTTCAGCACAAATTTACATTTGCCTTTAACAAGGGATGTTTATTGCATTCATTATTTGACAGTGCATTTTGTCAAAAAAAAAAAAAAATAACCGAAGAGGTATTTCACAATGATGACGTTTCAGTTAACAAGAAAAATAAGACTGGGCATGGTGGTGTGTGCCTGTAATCCCAGCTCTTGGGAGGCTGTAAACAGGCGGATCACTACAAGTCTAATCTAGTAGTGAGACCCTGAACACCCTGTAGACCCTTTCCTAAATTATTAAAAAGAATGATTTTAAATTTGTATGGCGCTTTCACAGATTTACTAAATTTAGATATATATTACAGATATATATATATATATATATATATATATATATATATATTACGTTTTATATGCATGACATATAAAACAAAAATAAGTAGTTTTAAACAAAAGACATGCAAATATTCTGAAAGTTTATGACATTTATTTCATTATCTGATTAATTACAATTATGTGTAGAGAATGGAGGGGATACAAAAAATACTTTTCCAAACACTGAACTGTACGTTGTCTTATAAGAAGCTAAAAAGCAAGATTATAACCAGCAGTAATCTAGCCTGTACTAAGTGTACAGAATATTAAAAGAACTGAAGTTAAAGAATTCTAGGTTTTTGAACTCATTTTTCTTAATTTGTCCTTTCTTTAGATAAAACCCATTAAGAATGTAAAATTTTTTATGAAAAAAGTTGAGGAAGTGCTGTTACTCAGGTCTAGAACCTTGTGGTTAAATTTGGTGACCCAGGGACCAGTTCTAAGGCGACAAATAGTTGTAAGACTGGCTGCTTATGTCGTTGATTCTGTGACACAAGCAGGAAGCCTATTTAGACATTCTGGAACCTAATACCATTGCATACACCAGTAAGTGTTAAAAAAAAAAACAAAAAAAAACAATATATAGTGATTTCCCAAAGGAAAAGTAGAGTTCCTAGTGTCAGTTTTCACAATCTCATTACAGACATGAATTAACTAACTACTGCTTTGATCTCAAAGACTGAAGACAACGAAAATTTTCTCACCACTCCACTCATTATTAAACTTTTTTTCCTGTCAATACCAAATACTTTCTTTAAAAAATATTTTATTTCTTTTTTTGGTACTGGGTCTCACTATGCAGCTTGGACTCATAGTGTTCCTCCTGTCTCAGCCTCCCCAGTGCACAGCATACCAGGGATCAAATCCTGGTTCTTGTGCTTGCCAGGCAGGCACTTAGACTGCTGAGCTGTGTCCCCAACCCAATACCAAATAGTTTTTGCTATCAAAGGCATAAAATACTCAACCTTGACTTTAGAAAGATGTTTACTCAAAAACAGAAGAGACTGTCAGTCATCTCTTTATGTTTTGTATTTTATATGTTACCCAAGTTGGTTTAAAATTTGTGGGCTCAAGTGATCCTCCTGCATAAGATTCATGAATATCTGGGACTATAGACATATACCATGTTACCCACATTTTCCACCTTTACTATTATTTGCCAAGGCTACTGTCAAGTAACCAAGTATGACCATGACACATTGCTTATTAGATACTTTCTTCAAAGTATATCCCTAAGTGTGTAATGAATATCAGCTATGTAGTGCAGATATTAATTCTGACTATACTGAATGTGGTAGGTGAACCATGGATACCCCTTGCTTCTTATTCAAGCTGTAGCGCCTGATTTCTTTGTATTGCTATGCTAAGATTGTAGCCTTGGACACTCTATTTCCCCAATATCAGACTTCTGATTTATATTGACTTGACTTGTAGGTTGTGGCTTCCAGTTTAAGGCTTTCTCCACATCACTACACTTATAGGGCTTCTGTTTAGTATGGATTTTCTGGTGTTTAATAAGATTTGATTTAATGGTAAAGGCCTTTCCACATTGAGCACATGTATATGGTTTTTCTCCTGTGTGAATTCGATGGTGCTCATGGAGCTGTGACTTTTTAATGAAGGCTTTTCCACAGTCATTGCATTCATAGGGTTTCTCTCCAGTATGAATTCTCCTATGTCTATTCAAGTGTGATTTCTGGATGAAGGATTTTCCACATTCAGTACAAATATAAGGTTTCTCGCCTGTATGAATTCTCTGATGCATAATGAGTGTTGATTTCCTTGCAAAGGCTTTCCCACAGTCATTGCATTCATAATGTCTTTCTCCAGTATGGGACTGCTGATGTATATGGAGGCCTGACTTTCGAGTGAAGGCTTTTCCACAGTCACTACATTTAAAAGGTTTCTCTCCAGTGTGAATTTTCTGATGTGTAAAGAGGTTTGATCTGTCTGTGAATGCCTTTCCACATTCGGCACATCTATAGGGTTTCTCTCCGGTATGAATCTGCTGATGAACATGGAGTTGTGATTTCTTAGTGAAAGATTTCCCACAGTCGGTACATTCATATGGTTTTTCTCCAGTATGGATCCTCACATGTGTAATAAAATGTGATTTGTGGAAGAAGGCCTTCCCACATTCAGTACAAACATAGGGTTTTTCTCCTTTGTGGATTCTCTGGTGCATACTGAGTGTTGACTTCTGAATGAATGCCTTCCCACAGTCACTGCACTCATAATGCCTCTCACCAGTATGACACTTCTGATGGATTCTGAGTCGTGACTTCCAGGTGAATGATTTACCACAGTCACCACATTTGTATGGTTTCTCCCCAGTGTGAATTTTTTGGTGTTTAATAAGATTTGACCTATCAGTAAAGGCCTTCCCACATTCAGTACATATATAGGGTCTCTCTCCAGTATGAATTTTCTGGTGTATAATGAGATTTGTCTTGTGAGTGAAGATCTTTCCACACTCTGAACAGATGAAGGGGTTCTCTCCTGTGTGAATCCGCTGATGCACAAGGAGTTGCGATTTTTTAATGAATGATTTCCCACAGTCACTGCATACATAAGGCTTCTCTCCAGTATGAATTCTTTCATGTGTGATGAAATGTGACTTCCGGATAAAAGCCTTCCCACATTCAGTACATACATATGGTTTTTCTCCTGTATGAATTTTCTGATGCATACTTAATGTTGATTTCCTTGTAAAGGCTTTTCCACATTCAGTGCATTCAAAGCATTTCCCTCTCGTAGGAACTTTCTTATGTATTGTGAGTTCTGAACTCTGAGGGAAGTTTTTCCCATACTGACGATATTCATAGAGTTTTTCTCCAGTAAGACCTTGCTGGCAACTGAACAGATCAGACTTCTGGGTACAGCCTCTTCCATATTCACTGCATTTACGGTAATTTTCTTCATTATGAGTTTTCTGACTACTTGCCTTGCGTGAATAATCTTTTCCAAATTTAATGGGCATAAAGAACTTCTCTCCAGTAAAGATGCTCTGAGGTACAGCATGCTGGGGCTTCTGAGTGAAGGCTGTCTCATGTTTGCTACATGCTTGCTGTTCTTCAGCATAAATATTCTGACATGCAAAGAGGGATGACTTCTGAGTGAAATCTTTTACAAAGTCATAAAAAAAATTAAAGTTCTTCCCAGGACATATTCTCTTATGCTGAGTAAGACCTTGCTTAGGGCTCAGAAGTTCCCTATGCTGATTAGCTTCACATACACTCATTTCTGGACAAGAATGAATAGGAGCAAATATATCACCATATCGAATAATCTTTTCCAGATATTCTGTGGCATCAATTCTATTATGATTATATAAGCTTGCAACAGCCTTCAACCTTTTTCCACATAAGCTACTATGGTGGAATTCTTTCCTTGAGGAAACAAGTTGTGTACATATAGGAACTATTTTTCCTGTGTTCTCACAGTCTATCTCATTAGCTAATGTTGCATTGTTGGTGAAGGCAACATGATGTAATGGTTTGTCTTTATTTTCCTCATATCTTCTTCTCCATTTATCACCTTTCCACAATTCTAAATGTTTTATAAAGAGATGAATTCTCTCAGACTGGGAAAAAAATCCTTGAGACAGTTCCTGTTGTGAAGGCTCAAAACCAATATCCCCACCTAAAAAAAGAGAAAAGAGAAAACTGATATAAAGAACAATGAATGGAAGATGGACTGATACACTGAGTTGATTCAGGGTAAAAACAAAAAAGGAAAAAGCTTTTATAACATAAATAACAAATACAGTAATAAAATTAGCATTATTTTCATCTTATAATAAGCAATAACTTTTTTTTTTTAGCAATAACATTTGGATGTACTATTCTAACTTCTATCTCAACTCATTTAACTTCATCATAATGCTTTCCTATTTGCATCAAAATCCCTACTTTAAAGATGAGAGAACTAAACTATAGAAGGGTTTAATAACTGCCCAAGTCAAATATTTACTGAGGAAGAAGAGATTCAAATATAAGCAAATGTAGACGTGAAGAAGTTTTCAGAAAAAAAAAGGGCAAGTCCTGTCCCTTCAGGGAAGGGCAGCATTAAGGGTAGGAGCTGCTGAAGAACAAATATGGCCTCATGCATGCTAACTATGCAGTCTTCCACTAAGCTATACCTCCAACAACCTAAAAGAACTATTTCTGAATCTAGACTCTTATCTTTCATCTATGAACCCTATTACTGTTTTATTAACTACTGTGTCATAAATACCAACCTATTTATATTCATAGTGACACTATGGTGGCCTTAGTCACTCTAACTCTTTAACCAAAAGGTAAACTGGATGTCTATGATTTAGTTCTTCATCCATAATTTAGGGTACAGATACACATGTATCCAATAGGAGACAGAATAGGGGAAAGGATCAGCCATCCATCAAATCTGTCCCCCTTTCTGTATAGTATTAAGCTTGTAGCCAAGTAGATGGCTGACTCAGAACACTAGTTTTGACTGGTGTCACTTGTCCATTCTGGAGGACCAAGTAACTCAGTTTTTACCAATCAAATGGGAGTAAAATTTATATCTGCTGTGAGACAGTCAGTCTTAAGGAGTGAGTATGTCTACCACAAATCTCTTCTGTTCCCACCAGACATTTCAGATTCGGCAGCAACCAGCTCTACACAGCTGTCAATACTCTAGGCCAGGGATCAGAACACTAGGTCCTTGGGTTAAAACCCATGCTTTCACCTAAAAGCTAAGAATGGATTTCATGTTTCTTAGGAGGCTGAAAAAAAAACAAATAACAAGGATACTTCATGACATACAAAAATTATGTGAAATTCAAATTTGCGTGCACAAGGCTTTTTATTAGACTACAGCAACATTTATTTATTAATGTACTCTCTATAGTGCTTCTTTGTAGGTACAATTAACATGTATAGTTATACCAACAAGCATATAGACCCTAAACCTAATTCACTGCTGTGTGCCCTATAAAAAGGTCGGCCAACCTCTGTGCTAGGGCAGTGATGATAAATCTCTCAGAGCTTTTTTTTAAAAAAATGTATAGTAGAGGGTCTACAAGGTCTCACTACACAGATCGAACTTGTAGTAATCCTTAGGGAATTACAGGCACACACCACCATGCCTAGTCTCAGTTACCATCTCAGTGCACCCCAGGGGTGGGACCAGCACTAACCTTTTAGAACTTTCAATGATAACAAATACCCAACTGCAGCATATGCATGCTATAGGTTTGCCACCACTGTCCTAGGTGGTAATGGTGCAATGAGTTCCTAGACACCTTGTCCCTGAAAGTTCACTACAGTCAGCTGGCAGAACCTGAGCCACTCATCTTAGAAGTGTCATGCAAGGAAGGGGTAACTATTTTTTAACTCATTGTTCTTTGGTATCTCTTAGTTAGAGAAGCATAGCTTTACTCCAATATTTACTCTACTATTCTTGCCCAGAATCATATGAACATTCTAAATCCCACAATACTGTATAGGACATAGGAGATTCTCAGTGACAAGTACAGAGAATCTTTCCCAGTCCTCATCACAGTCTGGGAAGTTTATATTTGTAATTTCAAGGGAAAGTTATTGGCATTGTAGCGAGTTAATTCCAATCTATCACTTCCAGTGCATCCCATGGAGTAAATAAAAATAGAGCCAAGATGGTGGGGAGTCAAAGAAGTCCTAAGTCCAGCTAGGACGATGGCTAACAGGAACAAAGGCCTTGACCCAAGGTCAAACCCATGTTTTATCAATTCACAATGAGGGGCGTGGTACAGGGATGAGTGATTATGAGAGTGGTGGGAAGTATGTGAGTGATGAGCTGGGCTACGTTAAGTATCCTGAGAAGGATATGCAGAAAAAGTAATCTGAATAATACAATACAAGGTAGTATCTAACATTTTGGGATCAGTGCTTCAGCTCTGATGTGTATATCATTATCTTATTCTAATAGATTCTTGAATATCGACATAATTGTATCTCATTTTATTCTGCCTGTGACCTTGCCTTTTCCCCTAAACATGTTAACTATTACTTTTTTTTTTTAATGTATTTGGTTGTTACAGGGTCTCACTACACAGCTTGGACTCTTAATGATCCTCCTGTTTTTCAGCATCCCCAGTGCTGGGATTATAGGCATATGCCACTACTCCCAGACTTCATAGCTGGCTCAGCCCACCCTAGGAGGAGGACTGGGGTGGCATGTGCTGTTGGAAATCAAACTGTGGTCCCTGTGCTTACCTAAGCTTGCCTAAGTAGGTGCTTTAATCCACTGAGCTATTTTGCCAGTCCCTACATCATATTTTCATTCACATATATTAATACTTTTATTTATCCTAAGGACATATGATGATACTTAATATCTGGACACAAAATGTGATAATGCAACTTTTTATTTTTTTATCTTATAAACCCTTTGCTATGCCTGACAACTTTTACATTACCATGAAAAACACTAAGTACAGAAAGTACTTTTAAGTTAAAAATTATTTGTATATAATTCCCCTGTTACGACTGTTTGGGGTACTCATTCAATAAGATATAGCCGGGGCTGGGGAGATAGCTCAGTGGTCTAAGCACCCGCCTGACAAGTGCAAGGACCTGGGTTCAGTCTCCAGGACTGCATGCCATGCTGATATGCTAGCCACCGAAACTGGGCACATGGTGCACTCCTGTAATCCCAGCACTGAGGCGGCTGAGAGGAGGATCACTGAGTCTGAGCTGTGCAGTGAGACCCTGTAATAAATAAAGGATTTTAAAAAAGATACAGCTATAATCCAGGCCAATGAATGTATATATGCAAGCTTCTCTTTACTAGTCACAGTATATTGTCTTACTGAATCCAAATACACATGTCACATTCTTTCGTTTTCATTTGTATCCTTTTACTGACCCTGTTTCTATTCATAATTCATTCTTTCCTGTGTCATTTATTGCTCTCTGCTCTAAAAACTTCTAATCTAGTCACATCTGAAGGGAGAATATTTTTTATCTTAAAAATGTATTTGATACCCTCATATTTTTTTGTCATAGTTTTAAATTAACAAAGACTTGTGCATTAAGAAATGTATAATGCACAAAGGCTGAAATTTTAAAGACTTCATGTAGTTATTTTCTAATTAGCATCTCTGACCCTTTGAATGGTTCCTCAGAGAAAAACTAAAACCTTTCTGAAATAAAGCAAAACAACCCTCTTGTCTATAAATTAAAAGAATTTAATTTTATTAAATATTTTCTATAGAGACATTGTAGTGTGCATATATAAATTTATTGGCCTGGATTATGGTTGTATCTTAGTGAATGAGTACCCCTAACAGGGGTAACAGGGGACTTATATGTAAATAATTTTTTAACTCTAGGTTTGTCTTTTTTTTTTTTTTAATCTTATCAGTGAATAGGAGTATGACTCACATTGATTTCCATTAAGAATGCAGGTATTTGAGTATTTGAATACATATGCAAAGGATTTAAAACCCTGAAGGACGTAGAAAGAAAAAAAATTTTCTGGGGAAAATAAAAAAGGAAGAAAGCAGATTTCTAGATAATGTACAATAAGATATAAAGAACACACTGGTATGAGCAGTGGGAGCCAGCATTTAGGTATCCAAAGGACTAACATCATCTCTGTCCAGTATAAAAGTTCAGAGCATAAGCACATAAGTCACACTATCTGTACTTTAAAGTGGCCAGCCTCTGGCAGCACAGCTGAAAGTGAGTCACACTGTCTTTCCCGTTCTTGATTCCTCACTCACCTAGATAGTTCTGACTTGAGTTCTCACTTCCCATTGAACATGGGTCTTCTTCTGGCTCCCAGTTGAAGATAACTTCTGGGTTGGGAACCTGACACCCTACCACTAGGAAACAAAATGGAGTTGGTTTCAGAGGCCACAGAATGAAGCACGTTGCATTTCCAGAAAAATTCACTGGAATAAAGGTATACTCAGAAAATCCAAAAGAGATTATTAAGAACATGGGATAAAATAAAAAACCATTACATACTCAAGCTATTGCACAGCCTGTCGAAGGTCCACATGTCTCAGAAAACCCAGACTTCAGAAATTGCACTAAGAAAAAAAATAAACTAACACAGGCACAGCCTATTAAAATATACCCGCAGGGCTGAGCTCACCCACTGAGACCAGGTTGAAATAGTTCTCCAGCATCACATCCCTGTACAGGCTCTTCTGGGCCAAGTCCAGGTACTGCCACTCCTCCCTGCTGAAGTCTACAGTTATATCCTCAAAGGACACTGCTCTCTGTGAAAACAAATTCCAATTCAAGTGGAAGAATCAGGATTGTAGCATGTAATCTAGACACTTGTTTTATGTTGCTATTTTTGAAGGAAAATGAAATCCTTTAAAAGTGATCATCCTAGTCTTCCTGTAATATTGATAATATTCTTCAAAATCTATGTGTTAGCTGGTTGCCTACACCTGTTATTCTAGTGCTCTCAAAGGCAGAGGCAAGAGGATCACAAGTTCAAGCCCAGCCTGCACAACTTACTGAGCTAGTGAGACCCAGTTTTAAAATGAAAAATCAAAAGGGCTGGAGAGGCAGTTCAGGGCCAAGGTTCTGGGTTCAATACCCAGGATCAAAGAAGAAAGAAGAGGCAGTGTGATGCAGGGGGAATTAGACAACTCACAGGCTGGTAAAAATGTTCTCAAATTATACAGTTGTTAAAGGACTTATACAAAATATAGAAAGAATATTTAAAACTAAGTGGGGGGGCTGCCCCTTAGCTCAGTTCTTTAAGTGGCTGCTTCAACAAAGCAGTCAGGCTCAGGTTGCTGTGGTTCAATCCCCACAACTCAAGCCAGCCAATCACGTCCTGAAGGCGTTCGGAGCAAAAAAAAACCCCAAAAAACTCTTAAAAATAAAAAATAAAATAAAATAAAACTAAGGGGCCTGCCGGTTAGCTCAGTTGTGTAAGCACTTGCTTATGTAAACACAGTCAGGCTCAGGATATCTAGGTTCAATCCCCAGCTCCTCATGCCTTACCAAAGACCTGCACTTAAGGCAGGCTGAGCCAGCAACAAACAAACAAACACCCTTCAATATAGGCTGGGGATGTAGTTTAATGGTAGAATACTTGACTAGCATGTGTGAGGCCCTTGGGTTCAATCCCAGTACCACAAAAAGAATCTCAGTAAAAAGACAAGTCAATAAAAAATGAGTCAAGGATTCAAATACACATTTTTCCAATGAAGACATACAAACAGCCGATTAGTTAATAAAAAGACCCTCAGCATCATTAGTCATCAGGGAAGTAGGAATCAAAAACACATAAAGGTATGCTTTCAAATTCAATAAGATGACTACTTATCAGAGAAATGTAGCCACCAGGAAGGCTGTACTAAAAAAGATAATAAGGTTTAGTAAGGAAAAGAAGTTGAAGCCTTTATACAGTGTTAGTGGGAATATCAAATGGTACAGATGGGAAGCTGTCACAAAACCCCCAGGCTTCCAGTATTACCCACCAGTTCTACTTCTAGGCATCTATCAATAGAAACAAAAACATATATCTACGAAACTTGCATATGATTGCTTATAGTAGCTTTATTAATAACAGCCAAAAGTGGGAACAACATAAATGTCTACCAACAATAAAGAACGTGTTGTATATTCATACTATGTAATAGTAATCATTCATAAAAATTAAATAAAACACTGATACGTGCTGCAAATGCATGAATCTTTAAAAGACTAAAAGAAGCAAGTCATAACATTCTATATATTACGTGATTTCCATACATTACAGTTGCTGCATATCCTTGGCATTTGTTGGCTTACAGTTGTATAACTTCTACTGCCTTCATTGTCACATTGCCATCTTCTGTGTGTTTTAATGCAAGTGACATTCTTTCCCCTTGAGAACCTAAACAGAGCCTATTTTATTTTCACTGGATGGGAATTCTATGTCGACAGTTCTTTTCCTTCAGCATTTGAAAAATATGTCACTTCTTTTGATTCCATGGTTTATGGTGAAAAAATCAGTCTTATTTAAATGGATGTTTCCCTACAAGTAATATGTCTTTTTTTTCTCTGATTTCAAGATTTTCTTGAATGTGGTTTTCATACATGTGTATGGGTGTAGATTTATTTATTGTTTTTCTGTTTGAAGCTTTCTCATCTCCTTGAATCTGTAGACACTGTCTTTTGCTGTACTTGGGAAGTTTCCTGGAACGTTTATCCAGCACACAGAGCTAATAATGGTCTGGTTTCAGTCCATACTTAGTACCTGAGACTCACATGAGCTTATACAGAGCTCTCACTTGCCCTGCTCCAATCCTAGACCTGACAGTCTCTGTCTGTCATCCAACACCAGTCCTCAGGAAACCAGGGTTTATAAAAAGATGTTCTAAGCACCCTAGGCACAGCAGAGTCTCCATCCTGTACTCAGCCAGAATCCCAGACACAGTCTGAGCCTAACCTAATAGGCCAGTCCTCTGCCTGATTAAGCAGCAAGGGTTAATGGCTGCCTATTTTTCCCAGTGCTCTGGACACCCAGGAGACACCACCCAGCACTCTGCACCCTCACCAGGATTACAGAAATATGCCCATCTTACTCCTGGAAAGATCTGTTTCTCCTCTGACCATCAGTACTGGTAGTAAGATCTGAAAGCCCACAGGAGCCTCCACATATTGGGATCCTGTCCCAAAGACAATGGTATATACATCGGGTAACCAGCCTCGATTCCAAACCAGAAGGAATCCACAACAGGAGCCTCAGAAACAAGATCCTACATCTTCCCTGTCCACCTAGCCAGCTAGTATAGCTGTCACAAACAGGAGACTAGAGAGAGAAAGAGGCCCCCTTGAACTGAGTAACCTCCATACAAATTCACAGACTACAAAGAGGGGCAAAGAGAAACGTGACTTGAAAGACAGACTACTAACCCAGGAAAACTCTTTTGTAAATACATAGGAACTCCCCCCACCCCATTATTGATACATTTTTTATTTTTCAATTTTTTTTCTTTTCTCCACCAAAAGAACCATTTAACTTATGCTACTTCTTTTGATTCCATGGTTTATGTTGAAAAAGTTAGCCTTATTTAAATGAATGTTTCCATTTCTTGCCTCCCCACCTTTTTTTTTTTTTTTTTTTTTGGCAGAACTGGTGATTGAACTCAAGCTCTTACTGAGCCATCTCCCCAGCCCCTCTTGCCCCATTTTAATATTACTCTGAATTATGTTTGCATGTCCTCCCTTTACTCTCCCATCTTTTGTCACTTTCTTTTAACTTGTTCCCTTTTTTGCCATTTGCTTTTCCTCTAGTTTAATCTCCTCTCTATTATTTATCCTCCTCCTAGTTGGCTATCTCTATTACTGTTACCTAATACCACTAATTTCCCTTTACTTTTTAACGCGGAACCTCCTGCATCAATCTTACCACATTCTTCACATCTACCATTGCTTTTTTTTTCATAATCTGTTTCTTTTTCTCTTTTTTCTTCATACTACCACACTTGTAACATCTACCTCATGACTATAGGTAATTAAAAATATCTTACTACAGCTGTATACTGCTTTAAGGTAAAAGGGGACAAACTGCTATATCAGGGAGATGTTTACTGTACATAATTTTATGATTTGTTTCAGATCTTGTTAAATAACTGCTTTATAAATCCTGTACCTAGGGATAATGGTATCAGTTATTATAGTCTGTCATTTTTCAGTTTTGTTTGATACTATAGTTACACTGATTATACTAAGTTACTCAAAGTGACATTATTATTGTGATCAATTGATCCTGTTGTATGCCAATATCTAGATTATCTGGAACTCATATAAAATAACACAGTTCATTACCAAAGAACTGAGTGCTGGGCTGGAAAGGGTGCCACAGCCAGCTGCACTTAGAAAATAACTCTGAAGAGTAGTCATTACCAAAAACAAGTCTTGATTCTAGTAATTAAACCACCTACAAAGGCTGGGGAGATAGCTCATCGGTTTAAGTGCCTGCCTGGCAAGCACAAAGACCCGAGTTCAATCCCTAGTACTTCATGCCATGCCAGCCCCGGAACCCTGGGTACAACATGCTGGTTCTGAAACTGGACGTGGTGGTATATGCCTGCAATCCCAGCACTGGGGAGGTTGCGACAGGAGGATCACTATGAATCTGAACTGCATAGTGAAACCCTGTGTCCAATAACTAACTAAATAAATAACCCACATATCTGAAGCACATTACAAGCCTCAATGTGGAAAACAAACAACAACCAAAAATTATATAGAAAATGAAAAAACAGAAGTGAGATGCAGACACTTCTAGGAAGATAGTGGAGTGGTGAGCAGTAGTGAAACAGCCTCTCTGAGATTTGGTGTGCAGATTCTAGAATACAGCAAAGTGAAGAAAAGGAGGGAAGTGGGCCCCCAGAGCCCAGCAAGGATCTGAAGTGAAAACCAAAGTCCACATGAGAGCAAAGAGAGACTTTAATGAAGGAGATGGTAAGCAGAGCTTAGTCTCTGAGCCCTGACTCACTGAGGGTGAGGGGCAGCTAGAACCTGCACACACAGTGACTACTGGTGGCCCCAGAAAAATGCACCAGTGAAACAGAGCAGTGGATGCAATGGACTGCAGTGGCTGGTGAGTACCAAACACATACTAAATAAATAAATATCAGGTTCAGGCATCCCCCAGGAGAATGCGATTGCCCAGCAACCATGCGGAAGGGGCCATTTGAGCTTGAAACTCAGAGAAGCTACAGGCTGCCTCTGTCTAGTAGCCCCTATTGTCAGTAAGTCTGAGTTCAAAAAGGCAGGTCAGACAGCGAAGTTTCAACAGACAGGAGACACACAGAGTACTTCACACTGAACAAATCAGGTTCCAAGTTCACAGCTAAAAGTCAGCCCAAACTTCAATGGAACTAAAGGTGGAAGCTTGCTAGGATTATCCACGACCCCGCTGCAAACATATGGCTGGTGTGCGGGGATAAATCAATACAGATATGGACTCTGTCTGCCCATTTTGTTTACCAGTGACAGCAGGGACATGCCTTGGATATTTTTCTAAATGTGCATTTTATTTCACTTTTGTTTTTTTTCCTCAATTGTCCTTGTTTTTTATGAGTGTGGACATTATTTCTAGTATTTTATTGAACCCAGGAAGCATCTAAAGTGAGAATTGAAGCTCACAGGCACAGCAAAGAGAAGTTTCAATGAAGAAGGAAACAGCAGGCAGCACTTTCTCCCTGAGCTCAGACTCACCATATGAGGCAGCTTGAAACAGCATGTGCGCAGTGACAACTGGTGA